GATTATAGGTGAGAACATCATGACACAAAAGAAACAATCTTGAATGACCTATCTTTCACCTAAGGGTGTCTAAGAATCAGGATAATGTGGGTATGAAGTTTATACAAATATGAGGATGCCTCTGTTGAGAAATCCAGCTCAACAACACGGAATAAGATCGCAGATCGATTCGAACCTAAACCATTTGCTCAACGATCACTCATTTGATTTCTCTCTCTGAACTTGATTTGTTCGTTTTTACCGATTAGCAAGAAAGTAAGAACACAAGAGAATTTTACGAGTTCGGGACCTCGATTTGAGTAATATCCCTACGTCTCGGCCTGGCAAAACTCCAGCAATTCACTATCGTCTTCTTCGATACAGAATCGCACCTCTCTCTCTCTCTCTTATCTCTTTACAACGGTAAACCTCTAGATCTAAGAGATAGTCTATACACACACACGCTTTACTTATATAGTAAAGTCAATTACAGAAAGTCAAGCCGGTTTAAATCTACTAACCGTGAACCAAAGAAAGAGTTCTAACCGACTCCTCCTAATTGACAAACCAGTCCGGTTCAAGTCCAATTCAGGTGATTCTCATCATCAAGTCTCAACAAACTCCACCTTGTTGATAATCACCATGAATCACTGCTACGACTTTTGCAAACGCGTGCATCACCAGGCTCAGCCAACACTTCAGTGTCTGGCTATTCCAAAAAAGCTCAAAGCTTGCTCAAACTTGTTAACAGGCAACACCTTTGTTAACATATCTGCAGGGTTTTTAAGAGTTGAGATCTTCTGAACCTTCACTTCTCCTTGAGCTATTATATCTCTGATGAAGTGCAGCTTCCTACTGATGTGCTTCGTTCTATCATGGTGTACATTGTTCTTAGCTAAGCAGAGAGCACTCTGAGAATCACACCACACATCAACCCATTCTTACTTGAAACCGAATTCTTCAGCCAAACCCTTTAACCAAATTCCCTCCTTTACAGCTTCAACTAAGGCCATCTATTCCGCCTCAGTAGTTGAGAGAGCCAACACATGTTGAAGACTTGACCTCCAGCTAATTGTGTTCCCTCCAACCGTAAAAACATACCCTGAGATAGAACACCGCCTATCAAGATCCGATGAGAAGTCAGAGTCACAAAACCCCTTTTGCTTCCTTGATATAGACACAATGATCGTAGTCACTCTTAACGAACCCATGACTGATCACAAACTGATCAAAACATTTGTTCCATTGCCTTGGTGCTTGCTTAAGCCCATACAATGCCTTTTGTAGCTTACACACATAGTCCTCCTTTCCTCTTACTTTGTACCCTTCTGGCTGCTCCATGAATATCTCTTCCTCGATAATACCATGTAAGAATGCCGTTTTTACATCTAGTTGCTCAAGTTCCAAATCTTGATTCACAACTGCAGATAGAAGAAATCTGATGGACAAATGCTTTACAACAGGCGAGAACACTTCCTGATAATCAATTCCTTCTTTCTGTGCATATCCTTTAGCGACTAATCTGGCTTTATGCCTCGGTTTTTCAATGCCTGGAATACCTGGTTTTAGTCGATAAACCCACTTACACCCGATTACCTTCCTGTTCTTCGGCCTTCTTACTAAGATCCAAGTTTTATTCTTGTCAAGAGAACTCATCTCCTCATCCATACCTCCATTCCAAAGATCCTTGTCCTTACTGCATATAGCTTCCTGATACTCCCTTGGTTCCTCAAGACTTAGTTCCTCAGCTGCAATAAATGCGAATGCAGCCATATCATAGTCCTGAAGTCTAGCAGGAAGTACAATCTCTCTCCTTGGCCTATCTCTAACCAGCTGATAGCCACTTCCATCCTCCCCTTCTAACTCTAACTCAGAACTGTTTTCTTCTTCTGTTTCAGCTTCTTGTTCTTCACTAGTGCTTCTGGGTTCCATTGTTTCTTTCGAACCCAATCCAGATTCAAGAACTAGCTCACTTGTTCTTTCAGCTTCAGTATGTTTAGAGCTATCACCTGATGCATCTTTTACATCCTTATACACCTTGTTCTCAACAAATACCACATTTCTGCTGATTACACATTTTTGTTCATCAAGAAGCCAAACTTTGTAACCTTTCACGCCTGAGGGATAACTAATAAAGACTCCTTTCAATGCTCTCGGCTTGAGCTTGCCTTGATCTGTGTGAACGTAAGCTAAAGAACCAAACCTCCTCAGATGACTGTAACCTGGTTTTCTTCCCAGCCATAACTCCTCTGGAATATTACTATCAATTGCTGTATATGGACTCTGGTTAATCAAATACACTACAGTTGACACCGCCTCTGCCCAGAATGCTTCTTCTAGACCTGATTCATCCAGCAAGCATCTGACCTTTTTCATTATTGTCCTGTTCATACGCTCTGCAACACCATTTTGTTGCGGAGTGTATGTACAGGTATGGTGCCTTTCTATGCCGTGTTGTTTACAGAATTCATCAAATTCATTGTTGCAGAATTCAAGGCCGTTGTCAGTGCGCATGCACTTCACTTTCTTATTCAGTTGATTCTCTACGAGCCTTTTCCACTCACAGAACTTCGAGAATGCTTCACTTTTGGCACTTAGAAAGAAAACCCACACCTTTCTGGTGTAATCATCGATGATAGAGAGGAAATACTGTTTTCCAGATAAGCTTGGGGTGACTGATGGAGAGCCCCAAAGATCCGAATGTACATATCTCAAAGCTTCCCCTGAATCATGCTTGCCTATATGAAAGCTTAGCTTCTTGTGCTTGCCCATAACACAACTCTCGCAGAAACTGAGATTCCCAATCTTCTTTTTGTCAATAATTCCTTTTCTGACTAATATCTGCATGTTCTTCATGCTCATGTGTGCAAGATGTCTATGCCAAAGAACCGTCTCATCATTTCTTTTCTGTTGCGACACATTGCTATTTGCTTGACCTGAAATTGTTTTACCATCCAACAAATACAATGTTCCAACTAGACTACCTTGCAACGCTAGCTTTCCATTCTTATAGAATCTAGTTTTTCCATGACCACCAGAATGTTCAAATCCTAGTCTATCTAACGTTCCAGTAGATATAAGGTTCCGTTTTAGTTTTGGAATATACCTGACATTTGTAAGCTGCTTGACTGATCCTCCAAAGGCTTTGATGTTTATGGATCCAGTCCCTTCAACAGCTACAGCATTGTCATCTCCAAGTAGAACCTGTCCAGAAGAGAGCTCCTCGAAGGTATCAAACCAATCCCTCCTGGATGTCATATGATATGAACATCCTGAGTCAATAACCCACTTCTCTTCGTGCCATTTTTCAGATACTGTGAGAGCTCCACCTTCTTGAGTCACATCTATGACTACAGCTGCCTCAGCTCCTTCTTCACTCTCCATTTTTTGTTTTCTTGCAAAACAGTCCTTTTTCAGATGTCCATCTTTCTTGCAGTACCAGCAAGTTACCCTGGAACCTGATTTAGATCGTGATCTACTATTCCCCCTATCTTTTCCAGTATCCATTCTTTCAGACCTTCCTCGAACTGCATATGCTTCACCAGTCTTTTGATTTCCTGAGGCTTTAACTACTCGCAACTCCATTTCTTTTGACTTTGCAGCACTAATCACAGTTTCCATTGACAGAGTTTCTCTACCATATTTCAGTGTTTCTTTTAGACTATTATAGGCTTGAGGTAGAGAACTCAAGAGCAGGATAGCTTGAACTTCCTCAGAAACTGAAACTTTTACACTTCCTAGATCCGAGACTAGTTTCAGGAATTCATCAACGTTCTGATCTATAGTCTTAGTCTCTATCATTCGGAATGTATAAAACTTGTGTTGAAGATGGATACGATTTGGAAGAGACTTGGTATTGTATAACCTTTCAAGAGTAGACCAGATCTCAGTTGCAGATTTGCATTCATCGAGCTTCCGAAGAACCTGATCCCCAAGATTTAAGATTAGAATATTCATAGCCTTTTCTTCTTTCTCGATCCAATCTGCTTCTTCTTTCGCTTTCCTTTCTTCAAAGGCAGATTCTTCTTCTCCTTTCTTTTCTTCGACTTTGCAGAATGCACTATCCGATAAAAAAGATTTCAATCCAAGAATCGACAGATGAACGAACATCTTTTCTTCCACATCGAGAAATCGCCTTGACCGTCAAAGATCGCGATGCTTGTTTTTATATCCGCCATTGTTTTCACATCCGCCATTGATTCGAATTTACCCAAAACCTTGGCTCTGATACCACTTGTTGAGAAATCCAGCTCAACAACACGGAATAAGATCGCAGATCGATTCGAACCTAAACCATTTACTCAACGATCACTCACTTGATTTCTCTCTCTGAACTTGATTTGTTCGTTTTTACCGATTAGCAAAAAAGTAAGAACACAAGAGAATTTTACGAGTTCGGGACCTCGATTTGAGTAATATCCATACGTCTCGGCCTGTCAAAAATCCAGCAATTCACTATCGTCTTCTTCGATACAGAATCGCACCTCCCTCTCTCTCTTATCTCTTTACAACGGTAAACCTCTAGATCTAAGAGAGAGTCTATACACACACACGCTTTACTTATATAGTAAAGTCAATTACAGAAAGTCAAGCCGGTTTAAATCTACTAACCGTGAACCAAAGAAAGAGTTCTAACCGACTCCTCCTAATTGAGAAACCAGTCCGGTTCAAGTCCAATTCAGGTGATTCTCATCATCAAGTCTCAACAGCCTCTTGAAAGATTAATGGTATCCGCCGCCTATGAAACCATTTTTTCGAATGAGGAGAAGAATAACTGCTTTAAAGTTCTTGTAGCCCCTAACAGTAACTGGAGCAAATCTCAACAAGAAGATGTCTGCATAGAACCACCATTTTACTAAAATACCGATGCTAGATTATATTGTAGAACATCTCTAACATATGGTAAATTGATGAGAGTTTTGGAATGGTACAATTTACCCAAAAAAAGAAAGTTACAAATAACAATAAAGTTTCTTACACAATAAGAGCAATAATCATCAAGCCATTGTATTGGTTACATTCTAGTTCTGAAACTTACGTACACAAGACATGGAACAATATATATATCCAAAACTTAAGAAAACTATTTTGTATGGACAGCGCTCCTTACAAGTGATGCAAATAGGTCGCGACATACAATTATTATTGTCCAGAGCATCTATTTTTGTATGAGTGGACCATATGAACAATAAACCGGGCTTCATGTAGACGTCCCGCCCAAGAAGACATTCAATGTGTAAGGTGACACAACAATACTCATCACACTTATAAAACCCCTCTTTCTGGGTTATTTTTCTCTCGCAAGCTTCACACCAATACATTATGGTATTTGTGTCCTTCCCATAAGAAAGAGTTAGCATGTGTTTATCATGCTTATACCTCATCTTTTGAGGTAAAGTAGCACATTCGAAACACAAAGAAAAGTTGCACTCAGTGCAATTGAATGCTTCCCTGCGAGCATCATGTGAAATTATGGAAACCTCTTGTGAAGCTATGCAAACCGCTTTGCAAACACAACATGTTCTCCGCTCTCCAGGTTTGGATGTCAAGAACAAAGGATGCATATGACTTTCATGGACTAATGGCTCAGAAATTGTGGTGCACTGCACGTGTGCCTTAAAGCGACATCCTTTTTCAAAGCACTTATAGAAGAAACCAGTGCAAAGGGAAAGGCACACTGAACATGGAAGCAACGTCTGAATTCTTTCGACTTGTTTAACCACTAAAGTGAGCAAATGCGGATGTGTCGGATGATGTGTTTTGCGAGAAAGATTTGCACAAGTTTCATGTAGAATGAACTCACAGTGCATACAAGAATAGAAGTTACCAGAAGAGATTGGCATGATACATGCTTGACAGTGCTTATTGTCGTTGTAGTCTCTACTCGGGCTCTCATCAAGTTTCAAATAATGATGTTCATGACTGAAATGTTGTATGATCCCATCACGTATCCTCACAAACGGTGCAACTTCTTCTTCAGTGTCTTCCGGCTCTCCCTCAAAATCTTTACCATCCCAAATATTTCTTTGTGTGGCACATCTTGAATGTGCCACATATGAACAATCATTTTTGATGCAAGTATAACCTCCACAATCATTGTTAATCTTTAACCGACAAACACCACAAGACCGATCTCCCTGGTCAAAGGAAGAGGTATAAGAGATACGATGGAGATGGCGGGATATCCTTATGACTTGTGGTAAGTTGATGCATCTTCGATGGACAACAAAGTCACAAGGGGGACACATATACATAGGGGAGCTTGAATCGGCCAAGGCACAGACATCACAAGTTAAGAAAGCTTGTCTTGGGAACAGAATGAGTGTATGCTCATGCCACTTTGGGTGGTCCATAGTTAAGAGTTGTGAAACCTCCACACAAGCTATATTCATAGCATAGTCGCAAACTGAGCAATAATAAAATATCCCACTGAGATATTCATCACAACAGTAGCATTCCCTGGTCCTACTATTCATTCTCAACATGACAAGCTGGAGAGAATGTTTTCGATGAAGAGGGTGTTTGACCTCGACTAGAGCCTTTTCATATTCTTCATGGTCCTCGCCATTGCAATCTCGGCAGCGAAAGTGAGCGGTGTAATCTCCTGTTGTTATGTTGTGGAAATCTTTGTTTCTAGGGTCACATGCCCCCTTTTCATTCCTCCCCCGTTGGACTTTTCCAGTCACACGAAATTTGCCTTCTTCAAGTTTCACTTCTACTTGAGGGCATAAGGAAACGTACCGCTCCGGCTCTGAGTTCATGGATCTAGCGAGAGAGATTATTTGCTTACTGAGTGATATGATCTCCGGCTCCGGCTCGAGAGAGTATATTTGGCAAATGAGTGGAGCGAGGTTGGACTTTGACGTTGGCTCCGAATCCGAATCTTCAGAGCTGATGAGGGATATTATTTGATTAATGAGAGATACTAGTTCTGACTCCGGTTCTGATCTTGATATAGAGTTGAAGAGAGACATTGTTTGAATAGTGAGTGATATGAGCTCTGACTCCGGCTTCGGCGGCGAATCCAAGTCCAAAGAGCGGCCGAGTGAAATTATTTGAGTAATGAGTGATAGTAGCTTTGCCTCAAGATTTGGTTGCAAATCCGTTTCTGAATCCGTAGAGCGGAGGATAGAGATTACTTGAGTAATAAGTGACAGGAGCTTCGACTCCAAACTCAAATTCATATATTTGGCTAGAGACATTATTTGATCAATGAGTGATATGATTTCCGGGTTCGGCTCGAGAGAGAGGATTGAATTAATGAGAGAATGGAGCTTCTCCTCCCGCCTCGGCTCCAAATCCGAATCTACAGAGCTGACGAGAGACATTATTTGATTAACGCGTGATACGAGCTCCAATTCCGGTTCTGCTTCTGATATAGAGTTGAAAAGAGAGAGTAACTTCTTAATAAGTGATATGAGCTCTGATTCTGGCTTCGGCAGCGAATCCAAATTCATAGACCTGATGAGAGAGATTAGTTGAGTAATGCGTGATGCGAACTTTGACTGCCTCACGATATACGAATCCGTAGAGATGAAGACAGAGTTTACTTGAATAAGGAGTGATGAGAGCTCCGACTCCGAATCCATAGCAAGAGCTGTCGAGAGAGAGAAAGAGAGAGAGAGAGATTGTTTTGACTTATAAGTAAATTTGTGAATGGTATGAGAAATTTTGAGTAATGATTAGTATGATCAACTTAGTGCTCGCTGATATAGATATATAAACTTATATACTGTACATATCAAAGTAATTAAAACAGAAAATCACGAGACATTTTCAAGCTTACACAGGCTGTCAGAATCGAAAGTCAACGAGTAGTTTGTTTTGTATATTGTCTGAAAATTCAGTTTTTAAAATCCATTATAAAAGACTAATTTTACATTATTTCGAAATATCAAATATTAAGAATAATTATCGCTGGATAATAAGGTGTAACAGGCTAGATTGGTCATACAAGCCATATTTTATTAATTCTAATCCGAATCTGAATCCTTAGAGCTGACAAGAGGCATTACTTGAGCAATAAGTGGTATGAGAGACTTTGATGACTTCGCCACGAGCATTAAGGGCTTGATTGGTTTAACCGCAGCGGTTGCGGTTGTGAGTCCGGGAATTTGCGGAAACGGATGATTGCGGTTTTGAGCGTTATTCAGCGGTTTGCACGACTGGTTAAATTTTTAAAAGCGAGTTTGTTTGCGGGACATTTTTGACTGGCAAACCAGCAGTTGTTTTAGCGATTAAACATAAAATTATCAAAATAAATATCATAAATAATTATAATAAAAAGAATAATATAGATTATTATGATAAATATCAAAATTATTATTTTAAAATAATTAATAAAAATTATAAATAAATACTAAATAATTATTTTAAAAACTAATAAATTTTATAATAGTGGAAACAGAAAAATTTCTTACTTATTTATAATTTCTTACTTTAAAAGTGAAAACAGAAAAATTAATATAAATGAATTAAACCAAAGTATTATGACACTTGTATCTTAATTTTCTTCAACTGATATGAAAGTCATGATTAGAGACTAGAACTTGATAGAAAAAATGAGAGGTTTAAGGTTTATATATATATATAGGAGAATATTAGTAGGGTTAGGGTTTTATAATTGTTTTTAGAGCGATCTTTTAATTTTTTTTTCTAGCGTGATTTTATTTTTTTTTAAAAATTTTTACCCAACCGTTACCGCCCGCAACCGCAAACGCTGGCGGGAAGCAGCTTTTGGATTTCAGCGGTATAAAACAATACGGAACGGCTTGCAGCGATTTATATGATTGTGATAAAACGTCACTAACTGCTACCAACCGCAAACGCTGCGTTTGCGGGTGATTGCGGATGAACCAATCAACACCTAAATACTTGGTGCTTGCCATGATTTGTTATCTAATTTATTATAAATTATGAAAACAATTTCATGAATGGACAAATATATATATGGGAAAAAGACCCCAGCCCAATAAAATAGGGTTCAGTTTCTTTACGGAAGAAATCTTTCCGGAGTCAAAGGAGTCAAGCGAGATCAGCTAAGAGAAAAAAGCATATTGGGCCGAGCTCAAAACCCACCCGGACGCAAGGTCAAATGGTCAAATAGCAATCTACTTCTTAGCTGAAACACTTGTTTACTTTCTGTTTTTGTTCTTGTAAACCTCTCTCTTAAAGATCCTAATACTCTCTCGTTCAGTTCACTTTGATCATGTCTAAAACTCTCTCGTTCCGTTCTTGTTCTTGTAAACACTGGTTCAGTTCACTTTTATCATGTCTAAAACTCTCTCGTTCCGTGCTTGTTATGATATCGAGCGATAAACTTATCGTTTATTAATTTGTCATCTGGTTCTTCTCCTCTTGAAGATTGGCCCTATACCCTTTTATCTTATTATTTACAAATTTACATCGTTATATTTCCAGCTACAACAATTTTTAGACCTATTAGAAATGATGTTATATTTAGATCCATTAGAAAACATGGTATACAATACTTGATGGTTACATTTACCATGAAAAGGTTAGCCAGGTGGTAAAATCTCAGATCCCTCCTTATTTAGCAAATAAATTATATCCATTTTAATGAGATAGAGAAAACATATCAAATGATTTTAAGTTCAAATTTGAAACCATTATAGAATTAGAATGATCTATGATTATCTAAAAATTTATTAGTAAATTTATTATATGGGATATTTACATATTTTTATCTATCTAGTTTAAGAATATCTTCTATACTATTATTTCTGAGGTCAAAAATCTAATGTGTCATCACCACAACGATTTTCCTACGTAACATTAATGAAAAAATGTTATGTATCGTTTTAGTTCATTTTGATAGGTTTATCATTAATCCTACGTGTATAAACCTATGACATGGATTTTCTTTCGATAATGGGTCATCAAATACAATGGGCTATCGAAACAAAAACAATATGCTATCAAATCAATTTAAAATCGTTGGCCACTTCTAGAACTTTCTAGACTCTAGACTCTAACTCATGCAAAACCGTAATGTATTTATCCACATATATATATATATACACACATATATATACCTCTACAATACTAAGTTCTATTAAATTTGCCTGTAGATCTTTAGTATACGTATTGTCCTTCTTAATAATATTGTTTTATCATTGTTTTAGATATGTCAATTGATTCATAGCTAGATGTATGTTTTTAGTGTTCATTTATGATATGGGATCATGTATTATCTATACATCTATACATCATTTCGTATTGTGTTGAAGATCTTTGACAGATAGCAGTATGTGGTCGTGTTTGTTACATATGCTTTTAAAAAAGTATTTGTTATTCAAGATCTTCATGACCGAGTACATATTTAGTTCTTTTATGTTATTTTCACTGTTTTGTGTTTGAATTTGTTTCTTTTTAGTTAAAGTTTGTAGTCTGATATTAATATATTCCTTCCACCATGCTGATTTGATAAGGTTATCTTCGTTGGTGGTTTATATAATGGACAACATGTTAAGAGGTAGACTTATGGATTTGTTCTGTTGTTATGTTCGTTCGGTTTACTTTTAATACAAGTAGATAATTTATGATGCATCCCTTATATTTTTTAGAGATGCATCATTTTGTATAAAAAAATTCTAATTCTATACTTTGTGGTTATGATTTTAAGATGCATTGCTAATATTGCAAAGTCGAATTGAATGATGCATCGTTTGAATTAAGCCGAAGTAATTTGTCTGAATTTTCTCTCTATGTTCGCGTTTTGAGCTTCCACCTGCCTCAACCTGATCGTGAACCTGAAGGTCGTAAGCGTAAGCGTATATTCCTTTTTTTTGTTACAACGTTATTGTTCCTTACAAGTAAGTTGGCTCCACGACTTTCTCTTCTTCATGATTACTTACATTTGTATTTCGTTATTATTCACTTACATGTATCGTTATTATTCTATACTTTGTGGTTATGATTTTAAGATGCATTGCTAATATTGCAAAGTCGAGTTGAATGATGCATCGTTTGAATTACAAAGCCGAAGTAATTTGTCTGAATTTTCTCTCTCTTTAATTCAGATGTTCTCGTTTTGAGCTTCCACCTGCCTCAACCTGATCGTGAACCTGAAGGCCGTAAGCGTAAGCGTATATTCCTTTTTTTTGTTACAACGTTATTGTTCCTTACAAGTAAGTTGGCTCCACGACTTTCTCTTCTTCATGATTACTTACATTTGTATTTTGTTATTATTCACTTACATGTATAGTTTGATGTTCTTCTAAAAAATTATTACAATTTTGACATGTCAAGGTTTACACCTTGAGATGTGCACACAATTTCTGGGTTGGATGGATTAGAATTGTTTGTGTCATGAAGCTCGGATTATCCAATATTCAGAATTCCCATCACTCTACGTTTAATGGCACAATCTTTTTGTACTCTGTTGATGCGTGTCAACTCCGTGAGGGAACAAGTTTTACCCTTAACAAAAACAAATGAAAGCCGCAAGTGCACAGCTAATCAGTTGTAGTATTTAGGGATCGAATCCACTGAGATTTGTGTGCCTGGTATTCTTCTACGGTTTCTAACTTTATGTCTAGACTAGATTGGTTTTAGAGGTTGGTTGTTTTTCACGGATTAAACTAAAACAAAAGAAAGCAAATAAATCTATCCTAAGGAACAAGTAGAAAAATCGAATGGAAAGGAAATAAAGCAAGCAAAATATCGAACTAAAGCAATGGAAATTCAGATCTAAATAAGCAAGTAAAAATCGATTGGTTTGTAAACTATGGCTAAAAACGCTGAGCTTTTGGGAACTCTACAGGGAACATAATCGGTTTTAACACTAGGGTAGATAGATTGGGATTAACGGATATCGATATATAGGATTCCAGAGCTAGATACTTAAGAGCTGGAAGGGAGAGAACGCAAGAGCTGCACAAGACTCGTCAATACTCACGATCTCGCCGCAGGTAGGTTTCCACTCCTACAAAAAAATCGCCTGTTTCATTCTAGGGCTGATACTTAATGAAAACTTTCGCAACACTAACTATCTAGATCAGATACTAGGTGATCAATCAAGCATACATGCAATAAGAACAAGAATAAACAGAGAACAAAGTTGAAATCCCAGATCTATAAACCTAGATGTCTTAATCGATTATGAGAGCCCCTTTCGAGAACCCTAAGCCCAACTCGGGATCTACTCAGACATGGCTGAGGTCAACATCATCATTGGTTTTGATAAAAGCAATCAAAAACAGTAAAGAAAAGAGATGAAGAAAGCTTCTCTATTGAAGAACTCGGACTTGAACAATCTTCTACAAAAATCGCATAAAAACGGCTAAAGGAAAAAGGGTTTCTGTAAAGTATGAAGGGTGGTGTCTAAAAACGACTGTTGGGGTCGGTTTTCACCCCAAACAGATAAAACCATCTCAACATGGCTAAGTATGGAAGAAAGACAAGTGGGAGAGCCGTTCTCACCAAGATATGTGGGAGAGCCGTTCTCACCAAGATAAGAGGGAGAGCCGTTCTCACCAAGATAAGTGGGAGAGCCGTTCTCACCAAGATAAGTGGGAGAGCCGTGAAGATAGACCAGTAGGGAGAGCCGTGAAGAAAGATAGACGGG